AAAAAAAAAAAACAACAACCAACAACAACCTAAACAAAAAAATCTAAACGGTCCCAAAGTTAAAAGTGTGACTTTTCTAGGCTACACAGTTAAGATCCGTGGATTTGAAGCATGTCATCAAACTACTCGAAGATTCAGACTCAGTAAGTAAGCCTGATACCTCGTTGTTTCAGTTCCACAGGTAGGAATGGGGCTCAGAAGAGTGCTTTGTATAATTACTTTACTGTACTACTGGCCCTAAATAAACCAGATGGCACTAGTGGCTGGGGCTGCAGAAAGCTGAACTATCTGTTCTGGTATTTGAACACTTCTGAAGGTGGTCGTTGTAATACGGAATGGTATCGATATTTTTATATTATAGATATATATATAACCCAGTATGAGCACAGGCAGGCACTTAAAAAAAAAAAAGAGGGAAAAGCATAAGCATTTTAAAACTAGACATGGAAAAATTTCTAGCTTGTCTGGGAGTTTTTGAGTGCTGAAGCCTGCAGCTGAGAAACACAGAGTAACTGCAAGTATGTCAGGAATTTATGTAATTGCCCAAGTTACCTGCTAACGTTTCTCCAGGGAAGTGATCTTATAGGAAGGTGAAATACACAAAGGTTGGTGTTGAAGAACAAATGTGACTATCTCAGCACAAAGGAGAGCATAATTTCATGGACTGCCACAGATTTGTTTTGATCTTCACAAGATTTGGCAGACTAAATTCACTAAGCCATTAGTTATTTTTGATCTAAAAACCTAATTTATATTCTTAAAACAAGAACCTGATACCACATGTTAACTTAATACCCCACAGAGGAGGGGTTTTTCTTTTCTGATTTTGATACAGAGCTGACAGAATAAACTTACTGACTGAAGAAAATTCTGCTGGATGATATTGTATACTTCTTCTCTAGAGTGTATAAGATGTATGATTAAGTGCCCTTAGGATTCTGGACTTGTAGATTCCTGAAACAATTTTCTGCCCTGCCTCAAGTTGCCACGTGGAGGTGCTCAGAAGAGCTGTAATGAATGCTGCTTGTCAGTGACACACCCTGACATATCTTCAGTTCTTTTCAACTTTGAGTTTGCAGACTGTTAGAGGTGACAGAGATCTACATTTTTATAGCTTTACATTATGTGTGGCATAGGTTTGGTTTTCTTAGTTGTCTTTCACAGAATCCCAAAGAAGTTAAGAGAGAGCCCACACATTTGAAAAAAAGATGGAGTTTTTTTAAAGCCCTGTCAGTTACAAGAGCTCAGACTCCATGCTTAGAAATGAGGCTTAATCAAGGAGCTAATCTGCTGCAAAGCACTTTCAGAATCTCATTGTGTCTTGTGATTTTTTAATCTGGTTACCACTTTCATTTAAACTTAAAAGGGGCTAAACATAATCATTTAATGTTCTAAGGCAAACTGCAATTAAAACCTGCTTTTCATTCTTTTACTTAAGAAGGATTTGGAAAAAGAGCAGCTGAAAACTCTCAAGAAGGTAGTCAAGAATTTTGAAAACGGCCTCGTATCCTTTGCTGCTGTAGAATTCTGAAGTCATGGTGGTTTATGCATGACAACACTGATTTTTCAGCAAAGCATTTTATTCTGTGCTGTGCTTCCAGGTGGAGAGCAGTGATGGTCCACGTATGTTCTCACCACTGGTTGTCTTAGGCACACATAGCCAAGGCTGGTGGGTTCACAAGATTCTTGGATGCTGGATTCACTTGCTATAAAATTCATTAGAAGGATCTCACCTGTGCTGAGGTTGAAAGAGTTCAAAAGCAGTTAGTGTAGTTTAACCTCTGAGCAGACGAGTATAATAATCGTCACTAGTTAAGAAGGAGCAGATAAAACAGCAATGACTTCCAATGAGGAGACATCTTAAGCAAAAATAAAGTCAGACTAATTAATCAGAATTTTTTTTTCATATTTACAGTACAAATTGAAAGGCTTCCAATAATCAGAAGTACAAGGGAGAGTGTGGGCATATAGCAAAATGTGATTAATTTTGTGCAGTTCAGCTAATTGCCACAGTGATTTAAGCTATCGCCTTACTTCAGAACTGAATGGTGGCTAAGTACTTACAGGCAGTGGATTGGTAGTAACTTCTCAGTCTCAGTGATCTGTTCAGTTTTAATCTTTACCCTTAATTAGATAATCTCAGTATATGTGTGGGTCCAGATTTTGAAACTTTTAGTTAGCCATCTGGGACTAGAGTAGGTAAGAACTTAAATACCTCAAGGCTGTCTCAGAATTTAGATAGACAAATGACACTGTGATGTAAACTTTTTATCCTGTAGTTTTAGATATTCGCTGCAGAACTTGCGGTATGTTCAGCTGCTAAGAAAGTTCAATTATATTTGCAAGAGTTGTACTTCTGTAGAAGTAAGGCTGCTTTGAAAAGCCTAAGTACTGATTCATATTTAATTTTGGACATCTAACTTTGAAAGCATTAGCCTTGTTTTTTCTTGGTTGTGTCTTTGAAGTATGATGAATACAGTTTTCAATTATTTTTTTTTTTCTGATTCATAGCACTACAAACAATCTGATGTCCTTAACTTTAATTTAAAAGCCCCTGAAGGATTTAGCACAAATAATTGAGATTCTTAACCTGTGTGCAGAAAAAATGAGTGAGCAAGAAGCTTTCACTGAGCCTTTATGTGAACTTATTAAATTATGTGGGTAAGTGCTTCAGCCTTTCTTTTGGAGGTTTAAACACTGCTTAATAACATGTTCATACATTTTCTAAGGCAACTGATCTATCCTTACAGCATCTACCTATCTGCAAGGCATCTATTATATTACCCTTCCTTTTCATCAGCTGTATTTTCCTTGAATCCAATTAGCTTGGCATGAAGGAAGGACCCATTTTACCAGTTCAGTATCTGTGGAGTTACCAATTACAACATTCAAAACTTTACTGTAATTGGCCCCAGCTTGCTTGTAAGCAGGATTCCCCAAAGCATCTTATTGCCTGAGTAAGTTGTTCTGGGACTGCTGTCCTCAAAAGCTTCAGCAGTTAAGTCCTGCTGAGATATGTTTTGCTGTGTCAAACAGTGTGCGAGTTCTAGAAGTGAGCTCTCAAGTGAGTTTAAAAACTTGAGGTGACACAGAGACACTCGAATACCTGAAGGTTAGCTTTACAAAACGACAGCCTATATTGCAGAAGAGAAAATACCACAAAGAAATTTGGGATTTATTTGTTGAAAAACATGAACTTTTGGGCACCTTCATTATCGTATTATACTTAAAATTATTTGTAGAATAGAATTTAAGTGTTATCCACACTTGTTTTCTCCTCCTTAGAATTTAAACAGAGTTACTTATGGAATGCTTGTAACTACAGTTACTTCTGAATTTAATTATAATTGGAGAGAATATGGAAGAGAAAAATTATGCCAGGCAGAAAATGAGTTGCATCATAAAGCAGATTTTAAATAGGTTTTTATTTAGCTTCCTCTCAGCTGTTAGGCTTAATAAACACAGGACTTCCCAGCTGAATCTTTCAAGTTCCCTGAGCACTAGCAGTTGTATTGCTTTCCTTTGGTGCCACACAGTGGAGAATGAGAAAGTACATTATGAAGTTTCTTTTTTTCCAGTGTTTGGCAGAAGCATGACAAAACTGAGAATGGGAGTATAAAGTCGATAAGATGTAGTTGTGAGTAAGACTTTTCATCTCTTACAGCAGTTCAGCAATAATTGTGGTTTCTGCAATTAACATATTTTGGAAGATTGCACCCTTAGGTTTTGCTTTAATTTTGATACTATGGGAATTCCCCCACAATCCACTACTACTTCAGATGACAAAGAGAAGCCTGTAACTAGAGGAAGGGGCTGTTATTTAAAACTTCCTTTCAAATAGTAAAATTTTCCACTTTTTCCGAACTGCTTGTTTACCTGTCCTCTTCTCACTTTTTTTTCAATGTCTGTTTTATTTTTTTTCCCCACGTCTGTTTCCTTTCTTTCCCCTCATTTATTCCCTTGTTTGCTTTCCTTTTTTTTTCCACTGGCTATATTTACAAGAGGTAAAGAAGCTGCTTTTCTACACTATAAGCTGCAGAGGCCTTAGCATAATATTGTCATGTTTACTGTTAGATAATTTTTAGAACTTACATTTTTGTGTCATACCTGAATGTTTTGCAGATGTTACTGAATATTTCTTAATATCCTGTTTTTAAAAATACATTTCTTGTTGGACTATTTGGAGTCGATGTTTTGGGTTTGTTTTTATCTGTTTCAAGAGTTCTTGCCTAGCAATACGATCCTTTTTTTTCTCACCTCTGAACATGCCTATGCACAGTCTAGCTCTGTAATAGCCTGATAGTGCCTAGATTCCAGGATTTAATCTTCCATATTTAAATTACATTTTTTAATTTGGTATTTCTTATCGCATCAAATATGAATTATAAAAATATTTTCTATGAACATGTGCCACTAATTGCCAAATGCAGTTGTAGAACAATTGCAGAACTTTCAGTATAGAACCGGCATTGCAAACAATGTATTTGTCCTGGAAAAAGTGTCCTTATTTGCAAAAAATAGCTACTGAGCTTTTCTGCTGACTTGATTAGTGTTCTGCAGTGTTTTAAGCATTGTTGTAATATATTTTAATTTAATTTTGCAGGTTACCATTTCAAAAAAAGAAATCATCTGATGAAGTAAGCTATTCCGAGGCAGTTTCAAAATCTATTGCACAACTGGGTGAGTGTAAACTGATATGCCACAATACAATTATTATGTAATAATAAAATTAACTGTATTATTAGAACAGTTTTAATTTCTTGTTACCTCTTCAGTGAATCTAAGTAATTTCTTTCAAATATTCATTCAGTCCTCTGTGCTTTTTTGTACTAGAAACCATCATTATTTTGCTGTGCAGCTAGCCTGCAGATTAGCTAGCAGAATTACCTATTTGCCATTGTCAGAAGCTATGTGAGATAACTTTATCAGTACAACTGAAGAACTAAATCTGACTATAGCCTCTTTCATTTCATTTTGCTCCATGAAACTGGTGTATTACTATAGAAACTGAAACCTGGGATGAGGGGACCATGTATCCTTCCAGCTTCTTTGAAAACAAATGGAAGAAACAAATGAGAAACAGTAACTCCTGACTCCCAGTTCAAACCTTCAAAACTGAAAAGCCTGAGACCTGTCACCTAAAATGGCAAAATACAAGATAGTTTAGTGCCTTGCCTTGCTAGGGGTAGCAGTTTTTGTCTTCAGCCTCCTACTGCATCTGAACCATGAGCTTATATCTTTCAGAAATCTCTTTTTTAAGTGAGCTGTTGAAGAAAAGGTGTCAGTCATGTCTTAAGGTCACCCCACCTCTTAGCACCAAAGTATCTTTTTACAACCTTGCATGTCACATTTGTGATTTTAAAAAAAAATACTACAAGCACTGTAGGTCAAAAAGGATTCATTATAAAGCAGGAAAGATATATCAGCTCACTTAATAGTGAGATTTAAATAGTAAAGAAGAAGCACAATCAGCCTGTTACACATGAAAAAAAAAAAGATTATCCTTGAAATGGTTGAGGAAAAAAATATTTTTAGAAGTCTTTATTTTCACAGATCCAAGTAGATAGCAGAATGGCCTCCTTCTGGATTCTCTTTAGAGGTGCAGGTCAAAAAAGACACTAAAATCAAAAAGATTGTTTATATTATTCATTTTAGGCACTGTTAGCTCTCAATGGAGTCCTCTTTACCTTCTGGAAAAGGATCTCTTTCTGTGCTCCCTGTGCGTCATACCATACCTGCTAGAAGAACAGTTTCTGACATGGTGATGATAACAACACCTAGTGTAGTGGCTTTCTTACGAATTCCACAACTTCTGTAATAACGTCCAGTCTCATATAAGGGTCTGTAACCATAAAGCAGAGGAGGTCGCTTTTTGATTAACCTTATGCTACTCCTCCAAGACTCCTTTGTCCTCTTTATTGTGGGAGTCCTGTCCCTTGAGTATTTTTTAATCAAACTTTGCATTGAGTGACAGATTTGTAGGGGGTATGACCAATGGACACACTAAATACTGTAAACAGAAGTGTTAAGATTACTTTATAAAAAAATTATAAGCTTTCTAAATTACTTTTTTTTTCCTGTTTCTGACAGGTTATTTGATGAGGGTGCCAAGCTCTCAAGTTAGAATACAAATCTGTAAGTGTGTTGTTAGCTTTTATAATATGGAGCTACCAAGAAAACTACTTTCAGGTAAAGCACAGTATTTTCAAGTGTCAAAAGAAATCAAGTGTTTATGATCCCAGCTACTTTGTAATGACTGCATGAATTACCTATGGATTATTTTTTCTTTATAGCTGTATGACTGTAAATACTTTCATCAAGATAAGTGAATGTTAGTTATTGTGAGATTTTATTTTTCTCCTCCAGATTTAGAAAATAAGATACATTATCTCAAAAATATTTCAGTTTGATTTTAAGTAAAATTCTTAATCTCTAAACATATATGTAAATCTTGCCAGTTTGATCCTACAGAGTTCTCTTACCTGAAAATTAATACCAACCTAGAGCCTATCAGAGTTCATGCTTAGTTAAAACTCATTTCACCATCTACATTATCTGAATTTATCAATCCTGCATTTCATGTAATTTGATATATATTTTTTTAAGCTATTTAAAAGAAACTTTACTTTCATGAATTAGCATATATAAATATAATTTTCTT